CCTGAAATTCACTTATACTCTTTGTCCCAAGGGCACTCTTTGTAGTTTGGCAGAATAGTTAACGTGTCAAGATCATACTCCGCACTAACAGAGTTATAGTCCCATTGAGGGTATTGATGAGAACTAGCTGAATCCGAAACTTTAATCCACTCTGGCTGAGAATGCCCTTGGAGAAGCAAGGCTATATAAACCTCAATGAAAATAGGAAGTCTACTCATCATTTTGGGAAAATTAAACTACTATCTTTCATCACCCTAAACCAAATATGATGGATACAGTTATATCAAAGTACGGGTTTTTCGTTTATACGTATGTTTTCGAGACAACCAGTATATCATATATATGAGATTAATTTACCTTATTTGTGGCTGGTAATTGAATTTTCCCACAATGCTATTAATAGACCTTACCTTTTAACTGAATTTCACATACCTGCTTCCTAAAATGTATTATCATCCAGAGTCGACTGTAATTTCTATCTCGCATAGGTCATCAGCACGCCTAGCGAGACTCAATCTCTCATTGTTAGGCGTATAATCTTGATTCGTTAACCAATACGCCAATTGCCACGAGTTCGCTTGCATCACAGGGCAAATGTGAGTTTCAAGATAGGCCAGGTCTTTACTTATCACATTATGTGGTGAGTTTGTCGATGAAGCAAAGTTGTACTTGCTATAGAAATCCATTACATTACTTATTTTTCGTTTATAAATAAGTTTCCTAAACTACCATTAGGTGATGAAGGACTGGTAGTTTAATTTTATCATGCTGATATAAGTGGGCCTTACGTTTACATTGAAATTCATATCTGCTCCATGGTTTAAAGGTACTCGTGGCAGTGTGGATTTGGTGTTAATGTTTTAAGATTATACGCTGCACTACCATGGCCCGGGTTCGAGTCCATCTGGAGGTGATACTGAGATCTGTGCGAGGTCAAAACTGCAGTCGATTCCTGTCTCTATAAGAGTGTCTTTTAGCAAGCAAGGCTGTAAAATTCAATGGAAACTTATATATGTAATTATGCAGTCAAAGTCATGCGCCTCGCTGAGCCTATTTTCCTTAATCAAATAAGGCAAATGTTACACTTTATTGCAATTACTCAAGTCGTATTCTACCACGCACAAATATACTTACATAAATTAATTTTTTATTTATATATGTATGAATATCAGACTACTTTTCTCAGCTCGTTGTAGGCTTAAATAGTTATAAGAAAGATTTGCTCTGGTGACGTCTGCTCTATTATAGGCGAATACCCCGCATGTTTTCGTCTGGACTACAGGTGACTCGAGGACTCCATTAGAATTGTACGTCTAAGGAAAATTAAACAATAATCTAAGCTGTATCCTTCTTCGTCTTAAGGTAATATATAATTACAAATATCACCATTTCAACACTTTTACGATGTGATGAAGAGCGTGAAAATGATGCTCCTTTTGCATTGATCATTTGTCTCATCATCTTATCATTTAATATTTCCAGCATTTCCTCCTTAAGGTTTTGGAAGGTCTAGATCATTTTATAGAGAAATATTTTTTCCACAATGCATGGAGTAATTTTTGCCAAGCTAGATCCTCTTTACATGATTATGAAAATTTAAACATACATCACAAATGCATCACAACTGACAATATCAGTTTTGCTTTTTACACCTTTCAATCTTTACGCTTACTATAATTGTTGCGAATAAAAGCTTGACTTAAATGTTGGGACATCTCTATATTACATTTTTAGGCATTGCGTTCGGCCACAAAGGTCTTCTTTTGCTGTTTGGTCTCCTGTTAGCATACGAAACCCGCAACGTAAAGCTTGGATGCATTTCAGACAGCCGATTCACTGCTATGGCTGTCTACAACGTAGTCGTGCTCAGTGTGGTGACTGCCCCGGTTTCCCTCATCCTTGGTGATCAGCAGGATGCACACTTTGCCTTCGTTGCTGTGGCTGTAAGTCAAAAATAGCGGCCGGACTAGTTTAGTATGAATAATACCTCCCAATAAAGATTACAGGGTATGAGACTAGGTAAAATTACCGAGTATATGAAGCGTACATTCAAAATAGTATTGGATAGGTTTAGGTGGAATAGGGTGAGCGGTAATGTATAATGTAGAAATGATAGAGCTTATTTTTGATCAATGGATTTAGATAGTAACTACTTTTGGATAAAGTTCAGAGGAAATTAATGCTTTAAGTGCCTAAGAAACTGGCGAGAGCCTTGAGCTTTGTTTCAGAAGAATTGGTTACGCATTTTTTAAACACTTCCTAGTTTGAGATACACTTTAAATTTTATTTTCTGTGGATGATACTATTCATTTAAAGACATGGAACTTATTTACCGATATATTTATGCTCGCTTTGCCTTCCCTGAAACTCTTTGCACATTAATCCTTATAGCTACCATAATTGCAGGGTATTATTTTTAACTTATAACAATGCGATAAGACCTTATCCTGGTTGTATGAGATGTATTCAGCCTATTTCATTCAAGGAAATGAAGGAATGGTAATTGTATTTTCCCGCATGTCTCCACTGAATTTCGCATAGTCTTGCTTCCCAAAAGGTATTCTAATTCAGGGTAGACTGCAGTTTCGACCTCAACTAAGCCTCTTCAACACCCCCAGCTGAACCCGGACTCGGATAGTGCAGTGTATATTTCGATACGTTAACCATTACGCTACACTGCCAAGATTGTCGTTGAGTCACAGGGCGGACGTGAATTTCAGGAAAGGCCCAGCCTTTTCTATACCATATTTCTGTGATGGGATTTTCGATGAAGCAAATCTGTTATATTAGTTATTTTTCCTTTGTATGTAGACTTTAGAGATTACCACTAGATCATATATGTGATATCTATTCACACCATTTCGTTTAACGTGATGAAAGACTAGTATACCTCGAAATTCACCAGATATAGATTTTCATTTGTAAGTAAGTTTTCTGGTAAGAACCGGAACCGATCATTAATAGGAATGTCTATAATTGATATTCTACTAAATATACTTTAATTTTCCCAACATAATTATTAGCTTGTATTCATTGCATCTCATTTAAAGTCATACATAACCAACAGCATATGAGCAGAAACATTTGCAAGCACTTGAAGCTGCAGACACTTCAAACAAATTTCCAACTACTTTTTAGTATAAATCACAGAATGAAAATTGAAATAAGGGCATAAATGTTTATACAACTCCTTGGAGAATTTTATGGACAAAGGCTTATCATCTACGGAGACTTTAATACGAGATTTGGTGCCAACTGCATCTTTGGAAGATATTCTGGAAAATAAGGGTATGTACGTGATTGGCTCGTAACTTCGACTGATTGCCGATTTCAAGAACTCTGATCACAGGAATACTTGGATTCATAGCAGCGCATATTGATTAGATCATTAAATTAGCTGGTAAATAGGATCGAATAGCAGAGAACCAACTTTTCGGCATCATCTTAAGCCATGCGCAAACTTTCTCACCAGCTTTTGCTAAGCCTTAGCGAATTGATCAGCCTACAAGTATTGATCTTACTCTATTTAATTCATTCCAATAATCCTGCAAAGCAAGGATCTTATCATGTCTCCGAATCGCGAGAGCTTCCGTGGCAGCTGTCCTGAATAGGTCTCGAATCGAATATTTACAGTATCTGGGCTAATTATCCAGTAGGGTTTTTTCTAATGCTGGTCACCTATTACTCGGGATGCGCCTACGATCATTAGTAAGACTATATATGATCTCTTTCTGTAGTGGATGCGGTGATAAGATCAAGGAAACCATACCTTCAATTACAAATAATGCATATAATTAATTTGGCT